GTCAACAAACTTGGTCTTTGGAGAGAATGCAATCGACCTTTTGATTTGGAACGTCAGCATCCCATCCGAGTGTTCCTCTCAAGAAACACAATGCTTGCATCTATGAGCCACATTATCGCAGACTTGACTTCCCTTGAAGTTCTTCTCAAGGAGGTTACCACGCTTTACAGCGGTAACTCACTACCACCTCTCGAGCATACATATATGGACACCACACAATGGAGCACCACAGCTACACCAGCTGAGCAAAAATGGTGGAAAGAATATCTTCACGGTACATCGCGAGCTTATACCCTCCCCAATATCGTAGAACGTACCACATACACCGGACATACTCGCCTTACCAAGCTTCCCCAAGATCTCACCCGCCAAATTCTCAGATTTACGGATGAGCAAAAAGTTACACTTCACCAAATGGCACTGGGTGCTGTAGCTCTTTCCCTTCAACACGATCAAAACGACGTCGACATCGTATTGGGAGGTCCTTACTTCAACCGCGGAGCCAAAGATCTCGAAACCGTTGGATTATTCCTCGAGCCTCTTCCCATTCGTATCCGCCAATCTTCAGCCTCCCAAATAACATCCACATCCTTCCTCCGCGCCGTGCAAACCTCCAGCCAAGAAGCAATTGCACATGCTATGCCTTGGGATCAGATTCTCAGCGCCACTTCCACAAAAGCGCGCTTTCCAAATCATCCACTGCTCGATGTTATGGTAACTTTCCACGACAATCGTACTCCCAAGACTATGATCGAAGGTGTGGATCCTCTGATTACCTATACCGAAGGAAGTAAATTTGCACTCTTGGTGGAATTCTCAGTGCTTTCTGATGATGCGATTGCGTTGAGGTTAGAGTATGATACGAATTGTGTGTCGAAAACAGAGATTGTGGCATTTGAGGCGGTGGTCTTTGAGGCCGTAAGAGGATTGATTGGAGGAATGAGCTTGGGAGAAGTGAAGAAGAGTTTGGGGAACAAGAAGAGGGAGGTAGAAAGGGAGAATGATGGAATGGTAGTAGCACCTACCAATTATTTTGGAAAGAGGGTTGATAGTCTCAGTGGCTTTTAGAGATTCAGAAGCTTACAAACATTGTACGGCGAAAATTAGTTGGATAGATTTTCAGATTTTCAGATATTCTTGAAAAGTTTGGGGGGTCTTGGGAGTTTAGGTGCATATGGTTCATGAATTTAAATATTTCATACTTTACCGGAGTACTCTTGTCATTATTGTGAAGTGAACTGGCAGAAGCACCCTATTGGCTATTCTAAGAAGAATTCACTTTGTTCCCAATTAAGCCGTCAAACATGATTTCTTCAGACGGATTAAGATATCGAATACTTAAACTTAAACAACAATCTCTCAATCGCATCCATCACATTTGCCACGGCCATGGCTTCACATATCCTGACTCAGACCCAAGGTCATAATAATCATCATCAACCGGATCCTCACAATGCGACGGTTCGAGGTCAATAATATGGAAGACAGCCAAGATCCAATGTCACCACCTCTATTCAAACAATGGTAGTCCTCAACAGCGAGGGTGTAAACAACACTTTTCAAGTGGCAGACGACAAATTCCACATCCACGCTTGAATTTATACACAGAAGGAAAATGGGGCATACAATTCATCAGTGCAATGAAGTACCGGATCCAATGGATTATATCTCAGGAGGTCCTCCATGGAATTTCTGGCATTGGACTGCCCCGAAGGACATAGGATTAAGCTTGTTGATGAACACAAGTTCCTGGTATGGTTCTGTCGCCGCAATCTCCTTTCTAATCTTTGGTCGATATCTATTCCGTTCCATTCCAAGTTTCTTCGCAGGAGCATTTTGGACGCACTCTACAGTCCGCTCTGGTTAAGCCTTAGGATATTACGAGAACCATTTCTATGGGGTTTATCTAGGAGGTGACACTGTGGTACTTGGTGATTCTTTTGGATGATCCAAATTACGATTCGGGGTCTATTGGTAGCCTGTGCCACTCCACCTGGTATTTTCTTCCAGCTTCTTGACAATGTCTTATTACTTCCAACAGCCGGGTATGAGTTAATCATCCTTACAACATCTCTAGATCTTCAGTATCCAAGTGCAGAGAGTGCACATATTTCTATTCCTAGGTTTATTGTTTCTAGCCAAAAAATGATAACGACGAGAACAAATTGAAGCGTATAGAGCATGACATGTAGAGTGAAATTTGACAACTTGAATATTCTCATTGTGCTAGTTGTTGTGATCATTCAGAGCTCCTCGACCGCAACACAGGTTTCACTTGCCCAAACTATACCCCCCAGTCATCAATACGAGAGGGAGCATCCTTCGGAAGTACTCGCAGTGTTGTCATCAAGTGCTTTGCAGATCGAGCCACTCTTGAACACTACTTATGGCTGAGAAGTGATGATTAAGCATTTGCCATGCATGCAGATATACTCTCCACTATGTGTATGACCTCGTCGCTGTAAGAAAGCTATTCCTGTGGTTATGAGATAATCGCGGTACATCATTAGGATTGTGGTCATACACAGATGATGAATAAGGGTAAGCTGCATAGGGTTGAGGAAAAGCGTAGGCTCAGCTGAGGTGGCGAAGAAGTTAATTAGTTTGAGAACTTTGATTTTATATGTATGATAAGGTTATTCATAAGTACTAGGTAGGTACTAGGAGTGATTTGTTGAGTGATTTGCCAAGTGAAGTCTGAGCAGACAAAGTGTGAGTGGTATGATAGGCGGCGAGTCTTGATATGAGTGAAGTCGACAGTAGTTTATCTATTCCCGAGCTTGAAAACCTTACGGGATAAATAATACCGAGGATGACCGAATCGGCCCATGAAAGTGAATTTGAAGTGATATCAGACGAAGAATTTGTGATGAAGTAAACGACCCAACGTCAAAACCGTCAAAAACGAAAACCAACAACACCATCCCCAATTCTTGTCAGAATTGAACGTCGATAGTTTTCCTGAAATGGCGCAATTGAGAGCCGTGTAAATCTGCAAAAAAATTGCAAAGTTTCCAAAAAGCCCCATTTTTGGATATGGCCATAGACGTGCAACAAAACGTTTTGTCGGTCAAAAATCATCACGTGGAAGGCTTCCCATTGGTCCAAAAAAGCTCCAAAAACATTCATTTGGGGATTGTGAGAGTTCTACGCGGTGGAAGTTTCTGAAACTTTAATGACACCTCGAGAAGATACTTCTTAGTATCATGGCAGAGTTTGATCAAGTTCTGAGATCAGAGTTTGGAGTTATTAAGATCGCCGTTTCGTTGGGCTACTGTGCGACAAACATTTTGACGACTTTCAACATCAGCGAAAATGGAATTTACGATTACAACACCAACAATGATCCTGAGATCCTGAAATTTGGAAGATAGACTCAGTTAAACTATAGATATATGCGCCAGGTTTTTAAATATACCTTTTCCAAGAAATTTGGTTTGCAGCGATGTCGGTGTCGATTCTGGTGATTTGGATCCTATCCGCAGGCCACCTCCAAAATTACTGGGGAGCACAAGAGGGAATGAGAATATGAACTAGATTATGAATATCTCCACTGCGATCAATAATACTAGAAGGTGTTGTTGCGCCATGAAAAAAGAGAGTCTCGCGACTGAGACGTTGTCACCAGTTCGACATGCTGAGGCACAAAACAACCGATTTCCCTGCGACCTTTCTACTTATTTCTCGCACATACAAATGTTTGGATATGATCACCACAACAAGCTTAGTTGTATGAAAAAAGTCCTGCGGCGGAGACTACACTCTTTTTTTTTTTTGTATGCGCCGCCAAAATGGCTACCCGTACTTCCATCTACAATACATGAGCGAGGAATGGTTGAAGGAGTGAATATATTCGACAATTCTTGGGCTAGGAAGAAATAATTTTGGATTCGCTACAAGGAAAGTAAGACAATTGTTATGGTCAATACCACTGCACAACCTTCTTAGGCAGATTGCGAGATCAAGGCGAAGATACATCATTTCTGATGCATAGAAGATCCGGCGACAATTCTCTGCAGGTTCTTCACTACTGTCTTTGTTGCAGACACTTTGGAGTCTCACTACCACTATCCTTAATCTATTACCCAGATATAGGCAAGATGGATCTTTGCGGGATAATCGTATTTTTGATGCAAGGTTTGATATACATTTTATTTGTGCGATAAGTTACACTCTTGCTGTCCACTTGATTCTAACATTGTTGTTTAGTATACTATTGACAGACCGAAACCCCGACCAACAAGCTACCTCTGAAGCAGTCATGAAATTGAGAAGCAACGAATTTTACATTGGTAGAAATTGGATTGGAGGAGGTATTGGATTCTTGCGCCCAGCGACAAAATACGGACACGCGCATTCGATCCATACCTATCCTGCTCTGAAAATGGTGGAATCTATCCTCTGTAAAGAATCCAAATTTGCGATCAAATTTACCATACAACACAACGACTTGAAACCCGACAGATTTCATAATACTCAAGATGTAAGGTGCTGCATATCTAAGACTACAAGGCCTACTACAATACAAGAGCTTCGATTCCATCGTTGGTTCTATACCCTCTACACTTCAAACAAGCTAATAGAGTCAACAACACATTTCGATTCAAACACTATACGTGCGTAAAACGCCGATTACGATGGGGGCCCCATGCGTTTTTCTTGAAGAAAGCTCCGAATCAAGCAATTGCGCAAGGAAACAATGGGGTAGACTTGGAGGATTATGACATCGTATATAGAAACTACTTGTGTCTATCACTTGCCACCGGTGTAGACAGCCCATACAATTCTAGAGTTTTGAAAACGAAAATATTACGTGCAAACATCAAGAGAGTTAGAGTTGGAAATGCGATTGAATACATAAAGGTAGGTAAGATTTGCTATATGCGCCATCAACAATTTCGAAATCCCGTAACACATTTCCACGAACGCCGGATCAGCAGTTTTCCAATCGTACGAAAAATAATCAAAATGCGGAAACAAAGGCGAGACTGAATATAACATCAATGATGGCGAGGCAGATCAAGTGATACTACGAAGGGCTTATAATTTGGACGCATTCCTTTTGCAGTGTTCATCATGATCGCCGCATTTACCATAAGAGTTTGTTTTCCAGATTGGATTGGCCACTCATTTGTATATGGATACTCATTAACTTGTTCTGTCTCCATCGGTGTAGCTGATGATGGATCCTTTATGCTACCATCTGGTTTCCAGGTTACAAGATTCGCGCCATTTCCTTCGTGGATGTGTCCGAAGCAATGCATAAGTGGTCGAACACGGCTTACGGCACGAAGAAGATTACGACATCCTTTATAAGAGCCATCAACTTGGTCCAGAATCGTATGTGGAGGACCGTGAGTCATGACGATATCAACACCTTCAGGAATAGGATTGGTGGGCAATTGAAACTTGACCTGGAGCGACTTGAGTTGAGTCGTTGAAACGGTCTTCATTTATCTGGTACTGGAAGCCCATAGATCCACAAGTGTAGGGTGAAGCGTATACTGTGAATTTAGCACCATTCTTAAGTGAGAATGTATGAGTACCTTCCTTGAGATAGACAACACCGGCATCTTTCGCCAATTGACCTGTCATGATTTCGAGGGCGGAATGATGATATTCGGAATACTCGTCGTCAGAAATATTTTCAACCCGGTTTTGCGCATCAAGGGATATGTCATGATTCCCGGCAATAACCAATTTCAACTCGGCCTCGATAGTACCCATCATCTTGACGGACTCTTTCAAGGCCTCCAATTCACCAAAATTGGTTAGATCGCCAGTATGGAGGAGGATATCAACCTCGGGCATGCTCGCTCCATTGAGGCTATGTTCGTGAGTGTCAGAGATTATCATCACTCGTGCAGAAATTTTGGACATGATGAGTAGTTTATTCGAGGTTGGTATGTGAGTTAAAGTCGAAAAGTTGAATGAGGTAAATTGTGATATGAAGTTTCGTATGTGGTTGGGAATCTTTCTTTTGGTCGTTCGGTTTCAAGGTATGAAGTACTGCTTCTTATGTATAGTTTTATAATATTTCTCGTTATTGTGTACGTTTAGATTCTTCTTAGTGCTGGGACTACTTGCGTAGTGGCAACCTAAATTACATGCCGCACGTGATTCTTCTATGGACAGATTTCTTGTAAACGGGCCAGGTGCTACGGTTTTGTTGCATAACTTGGTGAGCTTGGCCTTACATTACTACTTGCAATGATCACTAAAAGCCTCGATGTGTTTGAATGTGCTAGGCTATTTGGTAGTGATGCGCACTAGAATCGAGGCATTGTCTATGGCATATTGAGACAATTAGGAACCATGCAAGAGTTGAAAAATTGCTAGTGAACGAAGTTGAGATTCTTATACCACATTATTACAATTTTCCTCATGATTCCAATCAAAGCAATAGCCTGTCGAGCTAAGAATCCATCAAATCAATGAGCCAGTGAAACCGCCGCTTCCACAATAAATTCCATCGTCTCTCTCGGTCTACTCAACATCGGGGAATGACTACTCACAACCTCTCTGACCGTGAGATCGGCCCCTGCATCCTTTGCCATTTTCACAAACATTCCTTGCACCTCAACCGGAAACGTCCTATCATCCATCGTAGTCAAATACCAAACTGGCAAATCCATCCAGCCCGCATACGCCCACTCCCCACCCTCTTTCAAAACCTTCTGCGACTGTTTCTTCAACCTGCTAACCCAATATTCACCTTCCTCTTCAGGAAGATCATGATAAAATGATTCCCGAGCAGGAAGTTCCAACACCGCAAAACCACTATCGTCAAATCTCCATAAGGGTGGAGGTGTTCCCCCAATCGCATCGATAAAACTTAACCCCGTTTGCGCAAATCCGCAGGCCATCATAACGAGACCTATAACATGACCAGTGGGTTTCTCATCTGTAGATGCGAGATCATCGGGATAGCGATGGGTGAGTCCTTTGACTGCACTTTGACCGACTGCGCCGCCGTACGAATGCACAACTAGTAGTACATCGCGACCTTGTCTGGTTTCTGATAATATGGTATTTCGTACTGCTGTGATGTCGTCGCCGAAACCTATCGTGGCATCGCCGGCTGTTGAGGGGAGTTCTACGGGGATGCATTTATAGTGCTGTTCTTTTAGGAGTGAAGCTACTTTCTCCCAGATTTCGGCACGGTGCCATGCTCCGGGAAGAAAGACTAGTGTTGGTTTGTCGGACATTTCGATTGGTTGTGGGTTGAGAAGATAAGGGGTAATTGTGTACAGGCGAATGTGACTAAAAGTGAACGACGGAAGATATCGAGATGATCACCCAAATATCAAGAAATAGTCTCTCTATTTGAAACAAATCAGTCGAGACGATTTTCGAAATTTCTACAAGCCATCTGACTACATCTCATGGTGAAGTAGTCAGCAGTGTGACTTTCTCCCGGGACCTTTTCGCATTCCTCGTGCGATACCGGGTGAAATGCGGTGCAATTAGGAAGCGACGTCTTCGAACTCCATGAGACAGAAAAGCCTATAATGTTTAGAACAGATAATTTCTGAAGAAGTTGAATCATCCTATCAAATTGAGTCTTTTAGTGAGTAGAAGTTCCGGGGTGTCTAGAATGAATCATGAAGCGATCAATTGGTAAACTGCAACCTGAACTGTCGAAAATCGTGTAGTCTCTTGCTTTTCCCCTATTTTACGAAATCGGAGTCTATCCTACCCGATGCGCTTCTCTCTATCATCCTTTGTACGTGCTTTGGGCTGCTCGATGAAAGGTTGAGATAATCTCATCTCATTCCTGGACGGACGATTTGGCGTTGTGAAGATCAGATAAAATGGAAAGGTAGATTCATCTCATACAGTCTTGAGGATATCATTATATTTCATAGCGTGTGCTTGTTCTTCACTTCCGTCTAATATGTGAAAATTATCTTGATCTTCTGTATGCGCCATTTGGTATTGTTGCTAAAGAATCTCGTGTGATGAATTTAGATGTGTAAGCCAGACTTGAAGAAACTTTCAATATAATTCTGATCGTGAATACAGTTTCACGAGTCAATGTCAGATAGGAAGCTCATCGATGACCTGTCTCATTACTGATACTCACCTAGAGAGATGATGGTAGTTGATTTTGTCCTCCAACTCTCCGTTTTGTCAAAGTACCAGCGTCGTAAAAAAGAATCTTTCACCCTCACATCTGACCTAGTAGCTATATTTGCATGATAACTAACTGCATCGAAATAGTTCTTCGTCCGAGATCTTATGGTGGTTACATGATTCTTGGTTTGTTGGACATAATGCTTGAAAATTATAGATGGCCTGGTGTTTATAAGGAATTGGTGTTCCAAGTATCAAATGTAATCTTACTAAAGATAATCGAATCTTTCATTATCAACAGGATGTCTGGACGACTGGGAAACGCCTGCATCCAATTGTGGCTTAATTTTCTATTTATGTACAAGAAAAAAGTTATATGAAATGACCCAGTAGATTCAAATTTGCTATTCTGGTACATTGCAGAGAATAAATTGTAAGCAAACGAACCGGCGTTAATAGTATACTCTTAAGTGCGTAAAAAAATTCACCGGTGGATTTGTGCGCAAATAAAATGCCGCTCGGATATAAGACACCGGGATTAGATTCACGGAATTGATCAACCAACAAGCCGAGATGCTCACTGTCGCACAACCAGTCCGGTTCGGATCCGAAAGCCCAAAATCTCACGCGATGATGCAGGAACCAGCCAGAATGCAGGATGGAATTCTTACACGAGGTTTTAATCTGTCGGTGCATAATTGGGTGAATGAACATCATACCATTAAATGGTGATGATATGAGCCGATGGATTACCAACAGATTGGAAGAAGATATATATCGAGTGAATATCCTTCATTCCAAAGGTATAATATTGTCCACACAGCTTTCATTTAGAAGTCAACAACATCGAACACTTCAAGCACCACGTATCGAATTTAAACAACTTTACCAACATCCTTTACATCCTGTCAAACAAAATGTCTACACCATCCTCTAAAGAGGTCGCCATCATCGGATCAGGATTATCTGGTCTAACTCTCGCTCTTGCCCTTCAACAAAACAATATAAAATGTCGAGTTTACGAAAGTCGTCCTGCGCCTTTGAATATCGGAGGTGCTGTCATGCTTTCTCCTAACGCTCTCAAAATCTTGAAAGCTCTCAACGTCTATGATAGACTTCGTCATAAGGGCTACAATTTTGACAATCTTGAGTATCGTACTGCTGGAGATGGAAAATTAGTTGAGATTCAGGAATTTGGCTCGGAAGAGAAATATGGCTTCCCAGCTCTTCGAATCTACAGACACATCCTTATCACCGAGTTACTTGAAATGTTCAAGGAACAAGGTATCCCCATTACTTTTGGCAAGAAATTCTCACACATCACTTCGGAAACCGACAAACAAGTTGAATGGGAATTCGCTGATGGTACAACTGGTACTGCACCTCTTCTCATTGGAGCTGATGGTATTCATTCTACTGTTCGTCGTTATCTCTACCCTGATTTGGAGACCAAGTTCACTGGAATGGTTGGAATCACAGCAGCTGTACCAACATCTCAATTACAACTTCCGGAAGGATATTATATCCCTGTCACTATAATGTCTCCAAAAGGTGCATTTGTGATTGCTCCTCAGCAAGAAGATGGATCTGAAGTATTGATTGGAAAACAATTACGCATCGAGGAGAAAGATAGAGCTGGATGGAATGATCTCTCGAACAACAAGGAAGAAAGTGTTAAATTCTTGCAAAGCAACAATGATCTATTCCCGGAGATCGTTCACAATGCCGTTTCCAAGATTTCTCATGACAAGATTAATGTTTGGCCCTTCTACATCGTTCCCAAACTCGACAACTGGGTATCGGAGAATCGACGTGTGGTAATTCTTGGTGATGCAGCTCATGCAATTCCTCCTTCTGCAGGCCAAGGTATCAACCAAGCATTTGAAGATGTTTATATCTTTGCATTGCTACTTGCAAAGTCAGACAAGGGAGATACCCAGAAAGCACTTTCATTCTGGCAAGAATATCGACAGAAGAGAGTTGGAAAGGTTTTGGAATTGAATCAACAGATTGATTTGAGACGTTTACCGGGAAACTCGGCGGATCAGAAGAGAGAACCATTTGAGTTGAGCTGGTTGTACAATGCAGACTTTGAAGCAGATGTTCAAGAGTGGGCTGATCAACAAAAACGCCATTGAATTGAGTAGCGGTTTTCGGTAAATGTCGGGAAGGAGAGAGAAGGGTTTACTTGGGAACGGATAGAATGAACTCTGACTCATTGTGGTAGGTAGCATGGGATTCTTGAGGCGTTTCTTTAGTCTGTGAATTATTTATTGGTAGACGGAATGATAAAATGCGAGTCTTTTTTGATTCACCAAATTCTCAAAACATGACCTAGCTTTTTCAATCTCTTCCCGTCAGCAATAGAGGATGAAGAAGGAGATTTATGTTGTTCATGAACTGGATGTAACCGAGTTTGGATTTCGCGTGTTCCAATTTACTTGAGATTCTGTATCTTCTTCTAAATATGAGGATATATTCAAATGGCAATCGGGATCATCTTGAATAAAGAAATAATGACACACAATCAATCTGGAATCCTTACGGACGAATGGGCAAGTCTTTTCTGTACGTACTTACCTAGCTCAAAGTGGTCACCAGGGTCCATGCGAAGCGATACTACTGCCCCCTGTACTTATCTAGTCGGTGCCGAGAATTGATGCGGGGATTCTTTACAGGCAACATGCATTTTCGAATTCTTTGCGCATAGATCACCATACAGATATACCCCAAATACCCCAGAAGGCTTACGTCGTTGGTACCTGTTTTTTTTAATTAATGTTGTATCTGTATCACCTACCGTC